GCCACGGCCGGCAGGAGATGGTGGAAGCCCTGCTTGCCTGCGGAGCTGACGTGAACCTGCAGGACGAGGAGGGCTCAACCGCACTGATGTGCGCCTGTGAGCACGGCCGCATGGAGACGGTGAAGCTGCTGCTGGCTCAGCCCACCTGCGACATCTCCATCGTGGACAGCGTAAGCCTCTGCCACCGGGGCCTGGGCACACGCGCTCGCCCTGCGTCCCATCCCCATGCCTCTTCACAGCTGCTCTCCCTTCTTAGGATGGTAACAATGCAGTCGCCATTGCACTGGAGGCTGGCCACAGCAACATCGCTGTGCTCCTCTACGCCCACCTCAACGGCACGAAGGCACAGCTGCCTGTGAGTACCGCAGCCCCCCCAGCTCCTGCCACCTGCCCTGTCCCATACAAGGGCCACGGAGGTGGCACTGTGCCACCAGCTCAGCTGCACGGTGGGCAGGTGGCCCCGTGGGAGGGGACAGGGCTGTGACACAGCAGAGCATCACAGGTGCCATCCCCAGTAGCAGGGAACCAGCCTGGCTGGCCCTGACCAGGAGTCACTGGAGCGGCCTGGTGACAATTCATGACTCTGCTCTTTCTGCAGCAGGGGCCATCACAGCCAGCCACAAAGAGCCCTGGGAGCCCAAATTAGAGTGACCTTCGGATCCAGCCAGCGGCCAGGCGTGCCAGCCAGCCACCAGCAGCACTAGGCTGTAATTTATGTCCCCTCTCCTGCCACTCCTTTGTGTGCTGAATCGCTCTCTATGGCTGCAGATGTTTTAATCCTCCTGTCACCAGAGCAGGAGCCATCCCTGGGCCTCACTTGCCAGTCTCCACTGCTGGAAGTGGCCCACACATGGCCACCTCGCTCCACCAAGTGATAGAGGAGCCAAGCATCAAGTGACCTTGGGGTGGGAAACACAGCAAGCAGAAGCTGGCCCCATCCCATCTGCTCCCCACCGCTGGAGCTGCACCACCTCAGAGCCTTCTGCAAGTCACTAACACACTGGGACAGCAGAAATGGCACCTGGTTTCTGCTCTCAGCAGCTCCAGGAAGGCAGCGGAGCCGGTGACGGGGAGCAGGGCTGCAGGAAGGCAAGCGTTGGCTTCTGGGCCCTGCTGCACTGCGCGGTGCCAGCGGGGAAGCAGTGCTCAGCAGGGAGGTTCTGCACCACAAGGGGAGGGGACACAAGCCAGCTGGTTAGCGCTGCCTCAGACACAGGCTGGGAGCACTTCCAGACTGAAATACTTGCCCTTCTTCTGTGGCATTTCCTTTCCTGGCTGAAATCTGAATTTTTTTCTAGCACACACACACAAAGCAAAAAAATTATATTGCTTATTCAAAGGATGGAGTTCAGCATGACTTGGTGATTTAATTTACTCAATGTGAGCAAAACTTCCAGGCCCTTGGGGCTGTGACCAAGCTGACAGAAGGGGGCCCCACCATGAATGCAGTTAGGGACTGAGACTGCCCAGCAGATACCCCAGACAGGGAGCAGGGACCTTCTCCCAAGGAAAAGACAGCAATTACCTCCTAAGCACTTCCCATTTTAAACAGTCTCACAGCCACTGACTGTGAAGGCAACGAGAGCCCACAACCAAGTCCCTCTCTGCCCACTTTCCTGCCCAAAAGGGAGGTCAGCAGCTGAGGATAGCTCCAGGAAAGACATCGGCAAGAAGAGCTCAGAGAGCCTAGGGCCCGTGGAGGTAGACACGTATGTCGGAGGATGTGTGTGCATCTGTGCAAGTCCGCGTGCGCCAGGCGGGGTGGGAACAGACAAGGTAAGGACTAAGGACCGGGAGGAAGATGAAAGAGGCTTTTGCACTCAGTTCCGCTCTCTGAAGCCTTCACAAAGGTAACGCGTGTCGCAGCCCCCATTTCTGCTCCTTGGCCCAGCTTCCCCCACCATCACTCTTGCCCCACACAGGCCTGGTCTGAGCCAAACTGTAAGCTGGGAAATGCTCCTCAAGAAACTTACTCTGGGCAACATGCTGCTGTCCTCACAGTGGGCCTGTTTCAGCTTTGCACTGAAGTTAACATACGATGCTCACAGCCACTCTCTAGTACCCTGCTCTGTATGTATTCCGTAATCACTGCTTTGGTTTCACAGGTTTGTTTACTGATATTTTAATACTGATGTTTATTTTTAAGATAAATAAAATTTAAAGTAAAATTATTTTGAAACATTACAGTGACCATCAGCAGTCTCCTGCCTCTTTGCCTGGCTCAAGCTAAAACCCCCAGAACAGCTTCAGCCAAGGGACAGCCTGGCCCCAAGCAGTTGCCCGCATGTTTCAGTTCACTCCCTGCAAGTTTATGAAGTAGCTACATCCAGTAGTCTCGTTTTCTTCCAGCTGAACCATCCCAGCCAGGAACTGGCCTGGGGTACTGTGGCATCTTCTGGACTGTTTCATTCACAGGACTAAGGAGGACCCTTTGCTACCCCTGGTTCAGCCTGGTGCTCCGACACCAAGCTGCATGATTAAAGGATAATCATCAGACTCGAGTGGGAATGCAAAGTCACCTCCCTCCTCACATGGCCAAGGGCTGTGCTGACCCCACAGGGATATTCGGGAAGGGCTGCAGCTGCTCTGAGCCACCCCCGCTACAAGTTTACCTCTGTCTGGCCACCAATTCACAGCTGATGCCTCCTGCCTTGGTCATTTAGCACAGTCAGGGCTGGCAGCTGCCAGACCAAATGCTCTTCGGTCATTGCTAAAGCTGTGCAGGGAACAAACAGCAGCCAGAGAGTAAACTCCAAGGTGGACTTCTTGCACTCAAAGCTACTTCCTAAGAGCTCTGCTGCATCACACAAATCAGGGGAGTGCAGACTCACCCGATACTCTGAAACTGAACCACCACCAAGGAAGAATGAAGAACTAGCTCAAGCAACAGCATGAGCACATACTGACAAGGGCTTTCTCTAGAGCACAAAATTCACCTCAGGCTGCCCATGGGCTGACAAGTAACATCCACAGGAGGGAAAAAAAACACACACACCCCAGCCCTAACAGAAATCCTCACTATCTGCCTAAATTCAGCGATTTGAACACCTATTCCAGAAGTGCTCTCCTCAGCTTTAGGATACTCAAACCCTCAATCCCACCTGCCATGAAAATGCCTTAATTGAGTGCAGGACATTGAAGGCTGAAGAACACTCCCACCAGAGACCACAAGGAGTCATCAGGAGCTGCAGACCCGACTTGGTTCAAACACACCACAAACCAGTATCACTCTATTACCAGATGGAAAATACTAGTACTTAAAACCAGCCCTTGAACCGTGACAGTTTTCAGACTCATTCTTAATCTGTTCAGCTTTACTTTTACTTTATATAATGGCCTAAAACAATAAATCTTCTAGCTGATCGTGTGGTGGAAGGGAAAGCTAAGGAAAATGGTAAGTGAGATTGATTTACTAACTCCTCTAAGGGGATACAAGCAGTCATTCTCTCTGGGTGACTGCCAGTAAAGACAGCAGATAGGTGTATTTATAGCAGCATTTACAGAACAGCTTACTGAGGACAGAAAGACAGAAGCAGCAGGCTGTTGCTTTGCAAGATAGTACAAAGCTTGAATTTCAACTTGTAAAATTCTACAGAAGTCCAGTAGGTTTAGCAGTGCCGTTTTACCAGTTACATATAGAAAAACACTTACTGGAAAGGTAAGGATTAAGGTTGCTGGAATCAAAACATGATTATTTTTGTTGCAACATGTTAACAAAAATGCAAGAGGACACTAGTATTACAATGAAAGCATTACACAGCCTCAGTAATAGGCAGGGTGTGCTTTTGTCCCTCTGCTGAGCCCAGCAACAAAAGGCAGGTGCGTAAGTACCCAGAAGAACCAGAGCACTCATGTATTCAGTAAGCGAGACCTAGGCAAGGGACTACTGGCAAAACCCTTTATTGTAGTAACACAAGTGCCACGCTCCTCTCCATCCGTGACCCGTGTCCGGCCCAGCAGCTACCAGGTGGCCGCTCCAAGGGAACTCCGTAAGGCCTCATCACCTGAAAGAAAACACCGGAGGCCACACCGGTTTAGACGACGGCGCCGTGGCTCCGCAAGCTCCACAAGCGCGGGGGGGGCCCCGGCCTCCCCGCAGCCGCCGGGCCTCGCGCTCCGACTCCAGCAGGGTGAGGACGTCGCCCTCGCGCACCGGCCCCTTCACGTTGCGGATGATGGAGCGGCTCGTGTCGTCCATGAACTCCACACGCACCTGCGCGGCGAGACGGCGTCAGCCCGGCCC